GGGACATCTGGTGGCACTCGGGGGCATTTGGGGTCGGTCCTTTTGTCCCCAAGGGGAGGAGGACCAGAAGTCTCTGCTGGAGGGATTTGGGGTTCTTTGGGGGGGACTTTGGGTCTCTGTGGGGTCCTTGGGACGTTCTATGGGGTATCTGTGGGGTTCTCGTGGGGTTCCTGTGTTCTATGGGACACCCAGTGGCCCTGGTGGCTGTTTGGGGTCGGTCCTTATGTCCCCAAGGAAGGATCAGAAGTCCCTGCTGGAGGGATTTGGGGTTCTTTGGGACATTCTATGGGGCATCAGTGGGGTTCTTATAGGGTTTTCATGGGGTTCTCATGGTCAGTGGGACACCCAGTGGCCCTGGGGGCCATTTGGGGTCGGTCCCTTTGTCCCCAGGGGAGGAGAAGCAGCCCCTGCTGGAGGGATTTGGGGTTCTTTGGGACGTTCTATGGGACATCAGTAGGGTTCTCATGATCAGGGGGACACCCAGTGGCTGTGGTGGCACTCGGGGCCATTTGGGGTCGGTCCCTTTGTCCCCAGGGGAGGAGAAGAAGCCCCTGCTGGAGGGATTTGGGGTTCTTTGTGATCCTTGGGACGTTCTATGGGACATCAATGGGGTTCTTATGGTTTGTGGGACACCTGGGGGCCATTTGGGGCCATTTGGGGCCATTTGGGGTCGGTCCCTTTGTCCCCAGGGAAGGAGAAGAAGCCCCTGCTGGAGGGGGCGGCGCTGCGGCTGAAGCCGCGCTCGGTGCACGAGCTGTCGGTGGAGCAGCAGCTGTACTACAAGGAGATCACCGAGGCCTGCGTGGGGTCCTGCGAGGCCAAGCGCGCCGTGAGTCCCCCGCAGCCGCACCGCCGGCCCCATAGGCCCCACGTCCTTCATTTGGGGTCCCCACGTCCTTCATTTGGGGTCCCCATGTCCTTCATTTGGGGTCCCCATTGTCCCCACTGACCCCATAGACCCCCCGTCCTTCATTCGGGGTCCCCATTGACCTCATAGACCTCACATCCTCCAGTTGAGGTCCCCATGTCTTTCATTTGGGGTCTCCATTGGCCCCAGTGGCTCTGTTGGCCCCATTGACCCCACATCTTCCAGTTGAGGTTCTCATGTCCTTTATTTGGGGTCTCCATGGTCCCCACTGACCCCATTGACCCCACATTCTCCAGTTGAGGTCCCCATGTACTTCACTTGGGGTCCCCATTGACCCCATGGTCCCCATGTCCTCCAGTTGAGGTCCCCATGTCCTTCATTTGGGATCCCCAGGGTCCCCACTGACCCCATAGACCCCCCGTCCTTCATTTGGGGTCTCCATTGGCCCCATTGGCTCCATTGGCCCCATTGACCCCACATCCTCCAGTTGAGGTCCCCATGTCCTTCATTTGGGGTCTCCATGGTCCCCACTGACCCCACATCCCCCAGATGAGGTCCCCATTGTCCCCATGTCCTTCATTTGGGGTCCCCAGGGTCCCCACTGACCCCATAGACCCCACATCCTTCATTTGGGGTCCCCATGTTCTTCTTTTGGGGCCCCCACTGTCCCCATGGTCCCCATGTCCTACAGATGAGGTCCCCATTGTCCCCACATCACCGCCCCCCATCACAATGTCCCACATGGTGTCCCACGATGATGTCCCCAAATGTCCCCAAATGTTCCCCCCCCAGGAGGCCCTACAGAGCATCGCCACCGACCCCGGGCTGTACCAAATGCTGCCACGCTTCAGCACCTTCATCTCCGAGGGGGTGAGTGTCCCCAAATGTCCCCAAATGTCCCCAGTGTGTCCCCAGAGTCTCCAAATGTCCCCTCAGTTTCCCCTCCGTGTCCCCAGATGTCCCCAATGTGTCCCCAAATCCCCCTAGTGTGACCCTAAGTATCCTCAGATGTCCCCGATGTGACCCCAAATGTCCCCAGTGTGTCCCCAAATGTCCCCTCAGTGTCCCCACATGTCCTCAGTGTGTCCCCAGATCCCTCCAGAGAGACCCCAAATGTCCCCAGTGTGACCTTAAGTGTCCCCAAAGTGCACCCAGCTGTCCCCAATATGTCCCCAGATGCTCACAGTGTGTCCCTAAGTGTCTCCAAATGCCCCAAAGTGTCCCCAGATGTCCCCATTGTGCCCCCAATGTGTCCCTAAGTGTCTTCCAATGTCCCCAATGTGACCCAAGTGTCCCCCAGATGCCCCCAAAGTGTCCCCAGCTGTCCCCAAAGCGTCCCCAAATGTCCCCAGGTCCGTGTCAACGTGGTGCAGAACAACCTGGCTCTGCTCATCTACCTGATGCGGATGGTGAAGGCGCTGATGGACAACCCTACGCTGTACCTGGAGAAATACGTGAGTCCAGATGGCCCCAAATGTCCCCAAATGTCCCCAAATGTCCCCACGTGTCACTCCTGTGGCCCTCAGTGTCCTCCGAAGGTCCAAAATCTGCCCTCAAAGATCCCAAATGCGTCCCCAGATGGGCCCAAATATCCCCTGACGTGACACCGCGTGTCCCCAGTGCGTCCCTCGTTGTCCCCAAATGTCCCCAGTGTGACCCCAAATGCCCCCAGTGTCCCCAGAGTGCCCCCAAATGCCCCCAGGGTGACCCCAGATGTGCCCAGATGCCCCTAAATGCCCTCAGATGCCCCCTAAGTGTTCCCAGATGCCCCCAAATGCCCCCAAAGTGGCCCCAGATGCTCCTAAAATGTCCCTAAGTGCCCCCAGATGCCCCCAGAGTGTCCCCAAATGCCCCCTAATG